GAGTAAAAATCTAATATAGGAGGCTGGGAAATGAGCAGAGGGCAACGAGTGATGTGCATGTTGCTTTTCATTGGGAGATGCTTGGCAGTATTTTCAGTTTGCTTGCATGGAGTTTTGGAGCTTGTCTCATACCATATGGCATATTAAGCACAATAAAGATGTTCACTTGGCAGCTGGAGCATTACTCAGAATACCAAAAGAGTCATATATGCATCAATAAATTGAGAACTCTGCATTCATGCAGATAAGTATTTGATAATTACCAAAGTTTCAGTTTAGGGCTATAGCTGAGCAGTTACTATTACTAATTCTTTTTTTCCACTTCCATAGCACCTTGATCACCAAACATGAGTAATTTTGTTGCAAGTGCTTTAAAGACACAGAGTGAACAAATGATCTTTTCTCTGAAGAGTTTACAATCTAGTTAGAGTCCTTAGGCTTTAACACAAAGTAAGTGTGCAGGAGGACATGGGAGGATTTAGTGCATGTGGCCACTGACATCAGTTTGGTGTTTGCCCGATCTATTATAATGCAGCTGGGTAGTATGAATAATATCAGTTATCCATCTTATGGCTTTCCTCACACCATATCTTTGTGACAAATACCTGAGCATCAGAAACATCATCATACACCATGAGGACCATAAGTCATTGTGGTTGCCAAGCAGTGAAGTGTTATACATTGGGACACTACCTTTTTGTTTTAGGCAGACTGACATTTTGGTCTCTTCTTTCCATGAAACTTGGCAGAATCTTCACAGCATGTGCTATCCATCCAACTGACATAGATTTTGATAACCAGTTTTATTATTACTATTTAATTTACTATTACTATTATTTAATCTGGGAATTATTTAAATACTAATCTGAAAAGACCTTATTGGAAGATGAAGCTGAAATTCCTTAGATCTCTCCTGAGTGCCTGGCAGGTCAGGAAAGTGTGGTCAGTTCCAGAGCCAGCTCCTTAGACTATGTAGCTGCTACTGGAGCCTGGTAAAGGCAGCTCAGGTACTGTAAATTGTGAGTTATCTGCATTTTGGTTCCCCAGAAGCCACATGAGTTTAAGGAAGCAAATGTTCCCAGTGAGGGGCATTGTTGAAATAGCTAGGAGTGCAATGCAATCTTGTGCAACATTCCCTGATCCTCTCAGTCCAGAAGGCATCATCATTCTGGTAAAATTCACATTTGCCCCTAACTTCAGAGATTGTATCTTAGGCTACAGTTCTCTTCAGCTCTCTTAACAAGTTACTTCAGTTTCATCTCTGTTAGCCCTTGGTTCAAATAATCTTCAGTGTTCTCTATCCTTACGATCACTTCATCTCCTTCCACCCACTTCTAATTTCTCTCCTACGTATCAGTACTTCTCAGAGTCTTTTCATTTTCTTTTTGTCTCCTTGCTATTAACCTTGTCAAATACTCTTGTTTCTGGGGTAGAATTGGGAATTGAAAGCATCAGTGCTTTTGGATGAGTTGTGGTAAGAAAACAGTTTCCCACTCTCAAATAACTCTGTTCTGCCCTTGTTGGAAAAAGCTGCAGAGATTCATAAAGCAAGGTCAACAGATAAGCAAAATATAAAAGGACTAAAAGTGTCAAATTCATAACTTCAGAGGAATATAGATCTAAGTACTTCTCCTGATTCCATGTGTTGAATTTGCATGTGGTCTTTGAATTTGTGCAGTGGACACAGATGGCAGCAATGCAGGAATCTTGAGGTTTTTGAATGCTGAGCAGCAAGATGGGAAAAAAAGTACTCCCAGAGAGATTCACCTCTCTTTTTGAAGCACAACAGAGTTTGGCCTTTTGAATGTGACCTGTAGCATTTGGTTGGGTAATGCTTTGGCTTTGAAATATGACATTAGTTTTTTAAGTCATTACTTTATCATAGTTTTGTGAGGGTTTATTTATTTATTTTACTTTTTATTCCTGACTTAATTAATTTCTCAAACAGCCATGCCAATTTTTTCCAGCTGTAAACTATTAATAGACAGTAGATCCTCAGATGATTTTGTCTGTGAAGGGCGTATTTATTTAATATAACAAGATACCTTCCTAAGATTTTATGCAGGGCTTTTTAAAGAGAAGAAAAGGATCAGTTAAAAGAGAACCCACTCTTAATTCATCAAAGCTGCAATCTACACAATGATTAGTATAGAGAATTTCAACTTCTCACAGCTGTGGTGACAGGGAAATTTTGTCCTTTTTTTTGTGGGTGGATAGGTCGGGTAGATGACAGTGAATCTGCTACAGCTGCCATCGTATCACCAACATAAATTGCAGTGGGTGGTTTTATACCAGGGAGGTCTTGCTAGCAGAAAGCCTTCCATCAAAACCCTGCCATGAGCACAAGACCCTTCTTGGGAGCTGGTTCCTGGCCTGGGAGAGCAGCCACGGGTTGGGGTGGGACAGACAACAGCACGGTCTGAGCACTGTGAAATTGTTTTAAACTGCTACTGGTCCCAACTTCTGTGTGTGTGGTGTGTCCCCCCGGCTTCTGCTGCAGTGTAAGGCTTTGCAAAGAGGGGTCTGTAACGTGACAGACTGAGATACGTTTGTCTGGAAGGAGTGGAGTGTCCTGTGGGGAAAGAGCTTTTTGTTTCTTTTTTTTTTTAATTTAGAATCCCTCTTCCTTTCAGCAAAATTCAATGAAGCAGCAAATGTGCTGATGAAATTCTGGTTTGTTATCCCACCATGAATCCAAGAATAGTTCTTTTGCCCCCTAGTAAAGCAGAGAAAGTGGGACCAACTTTTAGTTAAAGAATAGGTCAGGAAGCCTAAAGCCGGTGCAGAGGAAGATCCTTCCGATGCTGGAATAATTTTTATGCAAGAAATTGTGGTGACTAAAGAGCTTGGACTCTTCTCAGTAAGAGGATAGACACAAATTCACAGGATTACAACTTTCTTCTTCTTAAAATCCCACCTCAGGCTCTTAATGCCTTTGTCGACATACGGGGTGTGCGTGCACAGGCAGTGCCTTTGGGGGGGGCGGGGCTGCCCGTGCTGGACAGCGCCGGTCCCAGCCGGTCCCAGCCAGTTCCAGCCGGTTCCACAGCTGCCCCACCACAGGGCACAGCCAGAGATGCAGGTGGTGTCTCTGTGGAAATGTCTTCAAGAAAGGGGCAAAATTCTGCCTGGGAGTGAGGACTGAGGGGAGAAAAGCCTGAGGAGCGAGTGAGCCGTGGGAGCTGAGGAGGAGGAAGGGCCGGGGCTGGAGCCGGGATTCCCTGGAGCCAGGATTCCCTGCAGCCTTGGAGGACCCAGGCAGGAGCAGGTGGGCATGTCCTGAAGGAGCTGCCGGCCCTGGGGGGACTTGTGCTGGAAGTGTGAGGTGGAAGGAGCTGTGGAGAGGAGCCATCAAGCACTGAGTGTAACCCCTGCTGCCCAGCACTCTGTGCTGCCCAGGGAGACGAGGCAGAGGAGCTGGGAATGAGGTGAGGCTGAGGAGAAGAAGGGTCAAAGGAGGAAGATCTGGTTTTAATTTTGTCTTTTTCTTACCATCCAAATATATTTTAAGTCAATTCTGTTTCAGGACCTCCCCATCTTTGTCTTGACCCACAAGATTTTTCATTATCTTTTCTCCCTCTGTCCTGTCGAGGTGCATCTGGGTGGACATCTGGATGCAGCCCAAGGTCAACACACCTTGTCCACTTGGCAAATAGCCTCACACATCTCATATTCTGTGCCTTATTCTGAAGATGAAAAATTTGATGAAGAGGATTTTTGTGTAACTTCGCAGGAGTGGTGTTAGGCCATCCACTATGAGATTTTGTCTGTGTTTTAAGACCAATTAAAGATACTACATAATCAATAAAAGCTTAGGTATTGGCCAGGTAGTGAGAGAATCTGCGATTTTTATTTTTTTGTTTCCTTTCAAAACAACTGAATTCAAGAGTCTATGCTGTGGATTTAAACACTATTCAAAGTGTTTTATCTTCAGTAAAACTCCATTGTCTTTGATCTTCTGTAGTCCATATCCCTGTCTATATCCATTTCTGAAAGTGTAATGCAGTGTTTAAAGATCCAACAGAAATTAACAGTACAATAAAAATGGCAAGAATATGCAGATAAGTTAAAAGTCTGCAGCAGCAATTCAAGGATCTGGTAGGGAATATAGAACAGGTTGTCTGAAAAAAATCTCCACATGAAAATATATTGTTCCAAGATGTCAAAACTTGAAATGTTTACTTAGCAATTAAGTTTGTTGCGAAGACCTGTTAATCATGTAGTTGGTAGTTACATCACTAATATTTTTTCTAGTGTTTTGTGCAAAGTGCATCTAGCAGACTCAGAGAAGGAATTTAAGGCAAAGTCTCAAGTCTTTGTCCTTTAGAGACATTTCTCTCTTTATGCCAGCCTTCCTACTATTTTCAATCTTTTGTGTAAAGACAAACAGGGCTATTGACAGCTACTGTTCAACTAAAAGTTTTCACGATCTTTAGCTATGCTGAGAGTGCAACTCATGCACTATATCACAATCTTGGTAGTTAGTAAGAAGTATAATTTGGCTTTTCTGTTAGGTATCACTTTTGCAGTAGGCTCTGAAGTTGAATATTCTGTAAACAACCAATGCCAAGCATTAAGATTTTCTGGATATCGGAAACCACTTTGCTAGAAGAAGAGCTTTTAGAGCTCCTAGGTTATGATGAAGAGCATAACAAGGTCTCTACTGCTACTGTCCAATTTGTAGAGCTAGGTGTTAATTTTGTGCATTTGGTTTGAGTGATCACAGAATGTTCATGTCCAAACCATTTTGTTTATCTCCTACCTCCCCAATTAACATAGTCAAAATCTGTTCCTCCTTCTCAAAGTGCATATTCATAAGATTTGTCTATGAATTATAGTTACACAAGTATAAAGCCGCTTTGAAAGATTTCCCCTTAAATAGGGAGGCATTTCTTCCAGAAATCTGTAGACAAGTCCATAATATAAAGGTGTTTGAAGTTTGTCTTCCAAAGTGAATATTTATAATTGTGTTTTTTTCTTTTCTCTTTTTCCCACCCCAGTGGAATTTGATGACTGCAAGGGGAATAATAACTTGAACTTCGAAGTTTCTAACCCGGACTTTAAGGTGGAAAGTGATGGGTCTCTAGTTGCACTAAAGAACATATCAGAAGCTGGCAGAGCCTTGTTTGTCCATGCACGGTCTGAGCATGCTGAGGATATGGCAGAAATTTTGATTGTTGGAGCAAATGAAAAACATGGTGAATTAAAGGTAAGATAAATGCACAGGACAAGAAGAAATTTCCAAGGAGATGCTACTAGATATTTACATATGCCATCTAGGACTGTAAGAAGTATAACTGGTTAGCAGAGAGAGCAAAATCAGTCTTCAATCTAGATATTCCTGTAATAATTTAACACTCAGTTTTTCCAGGTTTTGAAAGATGTATTTTCATCTTCAGGGGTAAACACTAAGCATTCATAAAGAATGGATACAAATGAAAGAGCCCAAGTATCGAAATTGGCTGTTTTTTCTGGTTATGCTGGTAATCACAGTTTGGCCATAACTGAAAAAGGAAAATCATAGTCTAAATATGTAATTTAGAATTTACCAAACCTTCACATCACTCCCAGTCTGAGCAGGTGGGAATGAATTCTGTGCTGTGGAATTAAAATTTTCAGGTAGGTCTGCTTATCTGATGTTATTATTTGTTAAAAATAATAAAAATAATAAATAATAATAAATAATAAAAATAATAAATAATACTAAAAATCTGCATACAAATAGCAACAAATGTTTACACTCTGACTCTGCACTAGGGATTTCTGTTCCACTGAATGCTGTGACTGTTCTTTTCCAACTTCTGAATTTCAGTGCAATGCTTCACACCAATGAAAGTAACAAAAGGAAATGTGATAGCCTCTGCCTCTGTCATGGCATTTAGGAGGGAGGCAGGCAAGACAGTGACTTTTACTAGACAATTAAGCCTGGTACAGACCTATAATTTCAGGGAAATATAAAGAAGCCATGATGAAAATGACTGATCTATTGTCATATTTTGGTGTTTAGACTTTCAGCTGCCAACATTCTCATATTTCCAATAATAGCTTAGTATAACTTAAGTTTTCCATTAAAAAAAAAAATAAATTAAAAAAATTGCTATAGAGGAAAAGTTGAAGAAACTTCTGAAAGGCTGTTGCTGAGGAAAGGTTTTGATCTGCACTTTATGCAGCATGCTGTGTGAATATAGATTGCAGAGTGGAAGAAAAGGTATCAGAAAGTGTAACTGCAGAGAGCTGATCAGAACATTTAAGTGGAATTTGATTTTATTTAGAGATGCTGTTTCTTCACAAAATTCAATTTTAGTAAGGTTGTACTTGGGACACCCTCTTACATGGTGGTTCTGTGGATTTAGGACTGCACACTGACAATTTCAGAGCTTAAAATCTAGGGAAAATTTTGTCTCACGTGTAGGAACTAATAGATGTGTATTTGCACTGACCATGACACGGCTTTGTCAGTGACCTTTTCTCTTTGTCCTGTTTGGGTTGTGAATAGTCTTCCCTCAAAAAGTTCCAGAAGTATTAATAAATGCCTAGTGTTGAAACCTATCACCAGACTACTGTAAAAAGCCAAGTCTAATTTGGCCTGATTCCTAAATGCTGTTCCAACCACTTTGTGTTGCTTCAGAGAGAGAAAGCCAGTCTAAATCTGGCATGTTCTGCCACTTGAATGTCTTCCCTCGTAGGTAACTCCTCAAAGTAGTATCACAGCATCATTTCTACCTGCATTCATCACTCCTTTAAGGACTTTGATATTCAGCTCCTAACTAGAAATTAATCTTTGAGAATAGTGATCCTTGGTGTTTGCAGTGCCATTGGGAGTTACGTGATGCATTCCTGTGTCCTGGGAAATCCTTCTAGAGAGATTCATTCCGTTCTTCAAGGAAATATAAAGGTCTTTGGGGCTGGCTTTCCTACTCTGGCCTTAGCCAGCACTCCATTGTTGTCAAATCAATAGATTTCACAACGGTTTCAGCTCTTATTTGCCTGGTTTAAATATAACACAGACAGTCTTTCGGTTTGTCGTACTTGAGAAGTGTATAAAGATTACAGTGTCCTAGCCAACAAGATTTTATGATAAATTTGAACTTAATCCTGTACTTTTACAATCTGAATTGTGTCAGCATGGAAACAACAGAACCACTCCATCTGTTTATGCAAGGAGTTTTGGCTAAGAAATGCTCAGATGGTGCCTTAGTAGTTCAGCATAATTCTGTAGGGTTAAGATGAGCTTGTGCTCAGCATTCCATACTTAGAGTACAGTACCTTGTTTAATTAGCAGAAAAGTATTTCTTAAGTATTTTCCTACTGCCAGCAACTGCTGTTTCTTATCTGGAAGCATATAACCTACATCTGTGAAATCCCATTGTTAATGTTTCTAATTGCAGATTCCCAACATGTTTGGAAATGACTGGCAACAATGATCTCTAATGTGCTGGCTGGCAGTCTGAGCCTAGGAAGAGGGAGCATCATTACTAAAACTTTGTGATTGCTACCAACTATACTTTAGACAAATATTGACAATATTTAGAGGTGCAGTCAGAAGTGTGCAGTAGAGTAGTGGAGGGGTGTGGTCCTTTCCTACTGAAGATGTGGGAAGATGCCAGCTGGCCTCATTGATCAGTCGTATGTGATTAGCTTCATGGCTATAGTCAGTGGCTGTTAAATACCATTTACTATTTAACTTACTTTTTGAGTCTGAAGGGCATGTTTTCTTACTCTTCTGCTAGAAGCATATTAGATCTGCAGAGCCTGCAGCTCTCTATCAGAGGGTGGCCATGATTACAGTATGAGAAAGAACAATGTCTCCTCAACATCATCAGCCAACTTGGCTGTTGTTCTGATCACAGAATCTTTTGCAGGGTTGAGTGATAAAAGAGCAGATACGTCACTGCTGCTTTTCCAGATGTCTGGGTGTTTCTGCAAAATACCCAAACCCCTATGTGTATGCATACATTGAGAGCAAAAATCTCTACAACATATTACAGATAAATTGCTTTCTGCAGCCTGTTCTTACTACCCCTTTTCCTCCTATGGCTTTTGTCTTGACAGAGGGGAAAATTCACAAAAAAAGATAGTCATGGAAGAGTTGCTATGGACCTATGGAAGGTGTCACTTTACAATGTGTCATACATAGTTGTGTGTGTACACACTTGTACCCTCAGGCAGAGTGTTGAGTGAAGGAAATGAAGTTCACTAGCATTCAGCACGGGGCAGTGCTGGTTAGGCAGCACATCTGCCCTCATACTCTGTTTTGCCTAGATAACCTTTCACAATGTCAGGCCTTGAGTGCTTGGTGATGTTAAAAAAAGACACAGGAATATTTTGATTCACCCAGTTTTCCACAAATGAACTTTGGGTTAATTCTGAATAATCCATAGAATTACTAAGGTTCAGATCGCTAATGGAAAAACTAGTCTCTTGCAAACCCAAGCTGGGAACAGACTGACTGAACTGATGAGTGACTATTTTTATATTTTTTTTTTTTTTTTTTTTTTTTTTTTTTTTAAGGCAGTGCTTGGCCCCTGCTTTGGTTTCTGGAAATAGTAAGACAAACCAAGGCTGGAAATTTTATCACATCGGAGCATTTGACCAGTCATTAGTGGATTTAATTATTTATTTAAAGGGTCTGGTTTGGTGGAAGACAGAAAGCATAGCCAATCTTGTAAAGTCTCTTAAAAGATTGTGAGTTGTAAAAGGCAGCAAGCTGGGAACTGAACTTGTTCTCAGAGGCTAAATTAAATGGTTGTCTGCTAGTCCTCCTCCTTGTCTGGAATCTAATGCTGGTTGTAATGAACATACCCTTGGTACACTGGGAAAACCCTAGGAAAGAATCTTTCTTTACCCTTTTTTTGGTGTGTTGGCAAAATGCAGCCTTCCTCCATCCTCCCCCCAGCAAAGGACTTATTTAGAACTTTTGTTTGTTACAGCACTGCAGACACAGGGTGAGGGGAGGAGTAAGGTATCAAGAGTCTGGCACCAAGGCAGATAAGAGGGCAGGCAGATATTCAGACATTCCAGGCTGCTAGTAACTTCAGTGCATGGTGCTCAGCAGTCTTTCATAAAGAAGGATGCAATGATTAAACAGAAACTGTCAAACCCTCAGGACACTTTTCAGGCACTAGACGGAAAAGAGATAAGAGGGAGGAGCACACCCTGAGACAGCATGTTGTAGACAAAGAAAGTTTTGAATAATCTCCAGCAGCAGTTCAGATTGAAGGAAGTGAAGTTGCTGTAGTCCTGCTACTCTGTCCAGTCCACTTGGCAGAAGCTAGAGGCTAGTTAGATATTCTGCTTCTGCTTTTCCCTTTGTCAAACCATTGCTTTTCCCAACACCAGTACCCTGCTATGCTTATTATTGCAGGCACAGGAGGGACAGCCTGGCTGAAAATTTCCCCAGCCTCCTTGCAGGCCTGAATTCTATTTCCTATTAAATCACTGCCTGAATGTGTATGTTTCTGGAAGTTGCTTTATCTCTGTCCCTCTGTTTCCTAAAGTATCAAACAGAAATAATGAAACTAAGCTTATTGGATTTAAATGTTAACATTTCTTGTTTGTGTCTTACTCTCTGCTTTATCCGTCCAGGGTAGGGATTGCAAATTTTACTGATATGAGATAAAAAATGCCTAGAGCATTATATCCTTGTATGGCTTTCTGCCTTAAAATAGGTGATAAATGATCAATAATCTTATTATGGATCTGGATTCTCTCACAGAAAAGAAAAGTTCATGCAAGGAAGTGATAGTTGAGGTGAGTCATCTGGCAGTTCAATAATTTAGTTGGAAAATAACATCAAGATTCAGCCTTTCTGATAGAGCAAGCACTCGTTCCTATTAAAGTATATTAGCATTTTTTCAGTTTAGAATAGAGCTCCAAATTGGCTGAAAATGACTGTGCAAAAGTATGAGGATGGCCACTCATATGAGATATTGACAAACAGGCTAGAAGAGTTCCATGTTATTAGATTTTGCATACAGCAGTTGCTGAAAAAGCAATGCACTGCATAAATAAAACACCATGTTTTGCATTTAATTTTAAGGCACAAAATAGAGTAACTCGTGGAGTACATCAATATCTGTGATACACTTATGAGTTACTATACTGATCAAAGCAGTATCTAGATTACCATTTTTTTCAGAAAAGCTGTGGAGATGCTTTTCCTTTGGTTATGAAAGTGTCCTTCAGGCAGATAAAGATGAATTTTCATCT